CCGAGTCCTCAGTGTGCTCACTGCGCAGCTCTCTGCGGAGAATGGCGCAGAAAGAGCCGAGGGATTCCACAGACAGCGGGGCCTTGTGGTCGCCCAGTGGAGGGCCTGGCCTTTCACCTGGGGGTTAGGACTCTGAGGTCCTTTCTCTGCCACCACAGCCCACTTGGTACGGCTTGTGTCTGGGTGACTCCCGAAGCCCCACGCACTCACGGGGTCAGGCTCTCCTGAGGGGGCCCAATCTAAAGTCTGTGATTGGTTCATTGTCTAGCACTGGGATTGGGGGCCTGAGTGCTGCCGCGCCCCAGGCAGACAGTCTGCGCAAGATGTGATAGAGGAAGAAGAGAGGCTTGCCTTCCCCTTCTGCTCTTGTTGTTTTTACTCTCTGCCGCTGCCGTGAACTGTCGCGCATCAGGCACCAGTCCAGCATGGAGCCAGTTGGGGGGGGGGGGGCTCCACAGACTGAGCCAAGTAAACCCTTCCCTCTTTAACTTTGGGTGTCTGGTATTTAGTCCCAGCAACAAGAGAAAAGTAAGGAAGACAGCCCCGCTTCTCCACGTGAATGAACTCTGACACAAGCTCCACTGGAAGGCGGGAAAGAAGAAAGAAGAAGCCACTTGCCCTAGGAATTGTGCAGTGGCTCCAACTCAGAGAGACCTGGGGCCCAGCTGTGGGGACATCTGTGAATAACAATGATTTTTTTACTTATTTCTTCAGCATTAACTCTGTGTCATGAACAGTATTTCCCTTGACAACTTAAAATCTTTACTCTGAATTCTCCTTAGGAGCTACATGGCTGTGCGGCTAGGGAGACAGCTCGGGGGCATAAGCGCCTGCCTGGAAAGCACAAAAGCCTGAGTTTAATCCCTGGTACCACATGCTGTGCTGGTCTATCACTGGGCATGGTGACACATACCTGTAATCCCAACACTGGGGAGGCTGAGAACATGAGGATAACTACAAGTCCAGACTGCATAGAGACCCTGTATCAAAAAATAAAATGTTACATGACTGTAATAATGAAATAAGTAACATTTGGAGTTGAGCATAGAATTAAAGTCTCAGTGGGATAATGGCTAGTGAAGAGTGATCATAAAATATACAGGATCAATGCCAAGAAGTGTTATGATTCCTCCGATAACAGTAGATTTAACCTAACCAGAATAGAATTTGTACAGAAAGAGAACTGAAGAGCAGAACTGCAAGCCTGTTTTGATTGGTGGCATAGTTTGAGGGGTAAAGTTCACTAAATAGAGGGCAATGCCTTTGTAGGTAGGTAGGGGTAAGGGAAAGAGATTGCTACATAGCGAACGGTTTCCATGGCCATTTGCCTAAACAATGGAGGAGCCTGAAGACTCCTGCTGCTGCTGCTGCTGCTGCTGCTGCTGCGCTGCACTATGAGTAGTCTCAATAATCAGGAGGCTGTGTCAGACATTATGGAGAACGCCCATGAGCCCAGTGTTTCGTGGTTTTCACTGTTGCATTCTGCATTCTGCCCAGATCTTGCGCCGTGGGGCCAGGGACATCTGGATGAATAGGCAGGTGCCCACCCAACACTGGGGAGCCATAACTGGGGAGCCTCAGGCCTTGTGAGGAGCTGGCTTTCCTGTCTGTCCCAGCATAGGCAAGGCACCATGACATCGCAGCCCCTGCCCAAGGAGCCTGAGGCAGTGGTCACATCCAATAGCATCATCCTACTGGAGACCGAAAGCACGAAGCCCACCTGGCCTGCCTGTCCTCACCAAATCTGTCATTTCTTCACAAAAAAACATCTCCAATTGCTCTAAGCAGGAAGTCTCAGACTCTGGTAACCTGGTTTGGTCTTTCCCTACCTACAGAGTTTCTCTAACAGCAGCAGTACTGACACCTTGTGGTAGCAACAAGGAGGAAGGTCTCCACCCACGTCCAGACAGAAGCCGGCCAGATAGCCCAGCAGACTAAAACACCTGCTTAGTCAGAGTGCAGGGACTGGGATTCGATCCCCACCACCACAATCAATGCCAGCCCCGCCTCCAGTGCTCTGAGACTGTGACTGAGGCTGGGCGTGGAGGAACGTGCCTGGAATCCCAGCGCTTGGGAGGCTGAAATCAGGAAGACCACTACAAGTCCGATCTACATACTAAAACCGTCCACTTAGGTCCTGCATGCCTGTCAGTGTGGATAAAGGGAAGGCCTGTCCCACACGTGGAAGGCACCAACCAGGAGGCTTGTAGCTTGGGTGGGATAAAAGGGCCGGGGAGGTTTGACACCATCCATGATGCCCCTCTGCCAGGCCACCCTGCACGAAGCCAACCAACTATCGACTAACACTCTATAAAGTGTAAGCCAACACAAGCCTTTCCTGCTTTAACTTGTGGGTGTCAGGTGTCTTGGCTCAGCAATGAGAAAAGTAACTAAGACACACCTGGAAAAAAAAAAACTATAACCATGTAAGACCTGGAAGGCAATATTAATACCAAATAAAATGGTTAATAAGATTTAAAAAAAAAGATTGTTAGAGAAAAAGGGAGACTCTGTAGTAACAAAATGAACAACAGGGCAAAGAGAAATAGTCCTAAATTGCTGAGCATGTAATTGTAGGTCCTCAATGATGTGAAGACTAGAGAAAATTTAAGTAAAACAGTGAAGAGAAAACATAAATGCTCTATGAATAAGCATCATCAAGGGAGTCCAGGAAACTGCGAAGAGGTTTGTACTTCTCAGCTCTGAAGATTGTTATCTTCCGGTAATCTCCTACAGACCGGAGCAAGAGTCTGCAATTCAAGGGGGTGACTCCGAGTAAGATAGGCTCATGTGAGCTTGCAAAAGAGGGGCAGCTGCACCTCAAGAGTTGGCAGGCTTGGGGAGGCAGCAAGGTAAGTGCTACTCATCTGTTATTTATGCGGGACAACTTGGCAGCAATCTCGTTTCTGCATTGGGCTGAAGCTAAGGAACAGCTGACAGGGGAGCGGCTGGGGTGTGGAGACCTGGCTGAGAGCAATGCCTCTTCCGGGTGGGTTCTGTGCCCTGATTTCTCACCGCTATTTGTTAGTAGCAGTGCCGGTAGACAGCACTGAAGCAAACGCTTCTTTGCCTGCTTCCCCGGCTCAGCATGCTTACATTTTTCCACATGCCCTCAGTGTTGCATTACAAAATAAAGAAGTCTTTGTACGTCGAGTTGCAGCCCAGCCTTGAACCTTCATCCTCTCTCCACCCTGTTAAGTCAAAGACAGTCTTTGTTTTCAGTTTACTATAGCCTGTTTCCACACAGAAAAAATTTTACCACACCCATGTCTTCATATGCATACTTTATTTTATGATAGAGTTCAAAGATTTAAAACAATGCCATCATTTTCTTCACAAGAAGCATGGCATGGACTGAAATCTTTTCATAATAAAGAGGGGATAATATGTACTAAACAAAGAAAATCAAGAAACTTTTTTAGACCAACATGTGTCATCATAAAACTTGCCTTTTGCATAAAATGCATCATTGACTCATAAAATATTAATTATATTTTAGAATGACAGGGCCCGGGGAGACAGCTCAGTTGAATAAGCGCTTGCCTGGAAAGTGCAAGGGCCTGAGTTCAATCTCCGGTTCCACCAAAAATAACAACAAAAAAGCTATTTTAGAATGATAGTAATAAATTCAAACCTTCTTTAAAATTTTAGTTCATGTATTAAGTAAAGACTGTTTTCCTTTCATATGCCAAAGGCTTTTCTAAATGTTACAGAAGCAAAGACAGAAAATCTCACCTTGCTAGGACATCAAAGACAGAGGAACTTTTGGCCACTGCTTCTTACATTTACATTATTGTTCCCTTTTATTTTTTGTTCATTTTAACATCTTTTTATCAGCATGTGTTTGCAAGATGCAATGTTTGCCATACTTCGTAAGCTTTAGAAGACTCTCAGTGAGGGTGTTGAGATGTCTCGGCTTGATTGTCACCTTCAATGAGTTGAGAGCCTCTTAAGGCCGAGAAACATACAGTCGGGGCAGGTGCTGGTCTGGAAGCACGGCCTGGGACCCGGGTCTGGTCCCCAGCCTCGTCTTCACTGGCGCCCCTCCCCTGCTCCGCCTCCCAGTTGCCAGGCCCTAGGCAGCCCTGCAGTCAGCAAGCCCCGCCCACCAACATGCTCCGGACCGTGGGCTGAATTCCCTGAAACTATGAGCCAAATAAACTTCCCTCTTAAATTGTTAGTGTCAGGTGTTTGGTCCCCCAGAGGGATTGGTAGTACAGGTACAATGACTTGATAAATTCAAGAATTTCCATGAAATATAGATAGCTAGAACCTTTGCTGTTCAGCTTGGAAGGTGTAATACGAAGTATAATAAGACCTTGATACTTTGATCCAATAATGTTACATATGTAAATTTATAAATATAAATGAATATTTATAACCTTAAAATCCCAGTCTGAAATATGCTGTCTTGGGAATAGTTGATAAATGATATTGTCCTTTATAACCAATATTATACAAGCATAAGATGAAAGCTAAGAAAAAACAAAAGAATTTAATGTATAGTGACAAAATAAAGATCTTAAATATAAGTATACATTTAAACCATTATGAAACCACTTGTGTATGTCAGTAAATACTAGAATAGGAAAAAATCAAATAATACTAATTCTTGTATATGATACACGCAACTGTAGGTGAAGTTTTATCTATGTTTCAAAAGTTGTTAAAACTCCATAAAACAATTATTAAAGTCTATAAAAAGTGTGTCTTTCTGAAGAAAACAAATAGGGCTTGAGGGATGAAGTCAACTGAAGAGGTTTTACTCTATTCTCTTCTAAAACTTGGTCACACTGTTACTCTAGTCAATAATACAGAAAATCAATAGAAAAGCTCAAAGGGCTCCCATGAGGAGGCAAAAGGACGTAAACCCAAATCCTGACACTTCTGGCTCCACGCTAAGTAACGCAGCTGGGTTATTTCAACATCACTATGTAATAAAGTCCTTGTGAGCTGAGCTGAGCAGCGCTGTCCCTGCGTTGCAGCCAGAGAACGTGAAATTCAGAATGGGAGTCCTCCCAGAGGCGTGTGAAGACCAGAGACGTAGACCTGGCTTCACCTGACCTAAGGTCTGTGTTCTTTTGCCCCCATCCACTGCCTCCTTCAAGCACGTGAGCAGTCTAGGGCACGTCCCCTTCACAATGTGGGCACCCGGAATGTTTGACTGTGGGAATGAGGTTGGTCGCAGCCCTAGAGGTGACTCCACCTGACTGCTCCCCGCGAGCTGCCACTCCCGGGCTCCAGAATTCCAAGTTCCATCAAGTCTGCTCTGCAGAACGTGGGCTCAGCCCTTCCAGTTCTTAGGTACTCTTCTCTCTTCTCTCCTCCTGGGATTCTCGAGAACTCTTACCAAGCTTCACACAGGGTATATTTTGCCAGTGCCTTCTCCTCCTACTGAATACAATCCTCTGCATAACAAGAGGCAAAGTTGCTGTTTCCTTTGAAATTCTGCTCACAGCATAACCTGCATTGCATAACAATGGAGCTTAACTAAATAATTTTTGTCTGTGTGTATTTCACAGAATGAGTGCTGTCACTGGAAGCAGAGGAATCACTGCAGACATTCCACCACGACAGAGTCAAAACACACAGATAGGATATGCAGACACTTGTAGTTCCACTCAACACCCGCATGGCAAGCTGCACCGTTTCATTCAGAACCATCTACAATTGCTGGGTGTAAGTGGTTTTCACTTCTCTAAGCAATCGGAGATGAATATGGAAAAGTAAAGCTTCTATTGTTGTATTTGGGATAAATTATGTTATGCCACTTTATAGGATTGAATTAAAATAAGCCATAAAATATTAGGACTATATTAGGTCAAACGTGAGGATTTGAATGTGTTCTGGGCTCCCAGAAATGAAATGCGGTGGGGTTTTCTCCCTAATATTGTACTCTCCAGAGGCGCTCTCTGCTCTCAGGGTTGAGTACACTGATTAAAACGTACTTGACTTCACAACCCTGAGTATTTTTTCCAAAGGACAATAAAGGTGGAAAAGATGCAGTGTGACTTACATGATCTTGGGATTTAAGGAAATAATGAAGTGTTTCTACTTTAATAAGTGTTTCTACTTTCTTCAGACTTACTTTTCTTCCATCCAGGCAACTCAAATAATGATTGGCCTGAAATGTTTCTTACTGGGAATAATTGAAGCTGCTTTCACGCTGAATCCCTTCTGCAAGAGCATTTCATTCAGCTTTTACGTGGGCTTCCCATTCTGGGCTACAGTGTCTGTGAGTACATCCATTTGAATTACCATGGAAGTTAGAGAAGTTTCATAGTAATTACAAATTAAGATATTAAATTCAATGATCTACTTTTTGGGGAGAATGGCTAAGTCTCCTTTTGGCAGAGGTATTGTGCCAAGCACTAAGGGACTTCATAAGAGGGAAGAGACATGCGTGAAAGAGGACTCCAGAACTGCTGCAGAACATGGGAGGAACAATGGGCTAAGTGTGTCCGAAGTGAGAAGGAGTATTCTGAGAGTGATTGATGGTGGTGTCTCTTTTACTGTAATACATATATATATATATATATATATATATATATATATACATACATACATACATATATATATATATATGCAGAATATATTTATTGAGGGAAAGAAAGCTTCTGTCTGAGAGGACAGGAGGGGGAGCCTAAGTGGGTAGTCCCTCTACTGTAATATTTTTTAATTTAAACATCCATTGTATCTTTTGATCTCATCTCTTGCACAGAGAAGACTTCCCATCTAACTTTATCATGAAAAATAGCACAGCCCTGGAGGTTTTGTCTCCCCTTCTTTCCTCCCGAAGATTCTTTTCTCCATACACCCATCTTCCTTTCTCCCGATGTTTAAAATTCTATCTGCAAGGAAAGGTACTTCATTTCCACCTACATTTCCATTTCTTATGCTTCCAAGCATCTGTTCCAGGGTGTGTAGCTTAAGGGTAGAGCATCTGACTGCAAACACCTGTTCCAACAGTGATTGCGTGTCTTTCTAGCACCTCAAGAGCCAAAATAGACACAGGTGCAGTCTTCAGTCCTTTAAAAATGTTCTTCATAATATGCACACTGAGGGGAAGGGTAGGGCTTTTGGGGGGCCATCGGGGATGCGGACTGGCTGGAGGAGATGGACAAGAACTCTGTCTCATTGCTGTCTTTCTTGTCTTATAAACAGTTTGTTCTTTCTGGAACTCTGACAGTTTCATCAACGAAAACACACACAAAATTTCTGGTGAGTATTGTTTTCTTTTATTTATTTAATGAGCATATAAAACTTTATGGGCTTTTGCATATATAACTTTATGACAATGGTTGAAGGGTCATTCTGAATGTCTGAAGAGTGTGTGCGTGTGTGTGTGTGTGTGTGTGTGTGTGTGTGTGTGTGTGTGTGCATGTCTGTGAGTGGGACCTTCTAATTCAGTTCTAAGTCAGACTGGTTATAGAAAAGACCATTTCTACTGGTATTGTTAAAACAAAGGCCCCCTAGGGATGGCTCCACCCATGGCATTCCATTTTTTTTTTCTGGTGAAACCAGGGATTGAACTCAGGCCCTTGTGCTTGCCAGGCAAGCACTTATTCTACTGAGCCATCGCCCTGGCCCCGGCATTCCCTATTTGGAGTACAAATTCTTTGTCTCCAGGAATCTGTGAGGTACTGTACCAGAAAATTTATTTTCTAATAAATTGAAAAGAATTGCTTATGAATACTCCATTAGCCATTAAAGCCAAATTGTATCTCCAGGATACTGTGGGAGATTTGTTTAGATTTCCAGAGTGTGTATTTCAGAATGGAAAAGATTCTAGATGTTTTTGACCCAGGCGCTAATCTCTTTCAGGTGGGAGTCAGTATAGCAGCTAACATCACCAGCACAGTGCTTTCAATTATTGGACTAAGTCTACTATTCCTCAATTTAATTGATATATTTCTATTTGACTGCACAAGCTCTGAGTGCTCTTTGGCTAAATCTTTAACAACTGTAAGTATTCTGTAGTTGGGAAATATTTTAACATGTAATGTGTTCACACTCAATAGTGTCCCATGAGCAAAGACAAAAGGTAAAGTTCCTAATGCTCAAATGGAATAGCAAAAAGCATTAAAAGTTAGTTAAAAAAAACAAGATAAGGGGGGATTGGACATAATTACAGAATTGTGTGTATAACTGGTGTGTATAGCTTCATACAGCCTTTCAAATTTCCTCTGATGAACATGGATTTTTATACATTAAAATAATGAGCACTGTCTATAGATGAACATGTCCAGAAAAGAGAAAATTGATCTGCAAAACTAATGAAGAATTTGTCTGCCTGTACATTTTTGGTACTGTTAAACAAATTTAGTGAAAGTTTTAAAATTTTTCAAATGGGGGAACTTAGTTGAGTCCTTTCCCAACTTAGTTGAGAATCTAAGCATAAGGGTGATAAAAATACCTCCTTTCCATGGCTACAGGTGAGTCATAGGAGTCGTGTGGGTGTGGGGGGGTGTATGCGTATCCCTAGGTGCTCATAGTGTGTCTTCGATGTATGAAGAGCAATTAATTAAAAATAACCAATTCTAGAATGTCAAGAAAGTTCCTAGTAGGGATTTTGTCACCCAGAACCCCACGACCCACATTTCTTTCTGTAGAACTCCATTCATTGGTGAACCTTGAAGAAGGCTTGCGTCAGACGCATTCCACTGCTGTAGTGGGATGCACATATCTTGGATAAGAAATACACCACGCTCCTAAATATCCCTTAACCCCAGCTCCTGGAGACTTAGGATAAAAGCACTGCAGGGCAGAACTGGGAAGGAAACCTCAGCCCTCAGCTTGCCTTCTCTTTGATAGAGCACCATGGTTCTCCAAGCGATGGTGACATGCATTCAGCTCGCCATTTCGTTCACCCTCTCTGTGTTCACTTATCACGTGGATGGCAGTGACATGAGTGGGGTGAGTAGCCTTCCTGAGTGGGAAGCAGAGGAGGCGCTAGAGTAGCTGCCAGCGTTGGTGCACCCGATATGTGTGTGTTCTCGTGTTCATATGAGTACGGGCTTCCACACAGCCTGCGTGTGCTCCACCACAGATTCTGCGAAGCCTCACTCACGGTGGCTCCTGAGTCACCATTCTGGTATCTCTGCTTCTAAATCCCTGAGATGAAAGACATAGAAATGTGTTCAGTGTGTTCATGGCTTGGTTTCATTTCATAAATGGAACACATCTCTCTCCTACTCCTCAAAACTCCATATATGTTGGCACAGAGTTCTGGCTGCACAGTTACTTCACGATCACTCAGACCTTTCAAATGCCATGCAGGATTTTACAGTGATTCCAGACCTGGCGAAACTGCCCTCTTCCACGCAGGCTGGCTAAGGTGCACTGGCTGGGAGGCGAGCTTCTCCATTAGCTCTCTGTTAGCACCGCTGACCTTGAGAGGTGACCATTCCTTTGTGATGGGGGCAGGCATGGAGGCGGGGCTTGCTATGCTCAGCAGCTTGAAGACGTCACTTCCTTCCCAGGCCTGTGGCTGTAGCACCAGAATGTCTTCAGCCATTGCCACAAGTTGCCCAGGGAGGAAAACTGAGAACCACTTGAGAACTACTGGACTAGGCAGGTCAGGCCACAAAGGAAACAGGCTGAGGACTTGAGTCACCCATGCTTGCGTGACATGTGGCCCTCTTTCCAGGTGTCAGCCCTCAGCTGCTTCGTCAAATCAGCATCTGAAGATCCTTACCAAGACCTGTTGAGTCCACCTGAGCCCTACGAAGACATCACCATGCAAGGCAGGCATTCTGATAACTATGATCCGTGAGAACTGGACAGCACCTGGTGTCACCTGACGACCCCGATCCATGCTGCCGGACAGAGGGACTTTCTGATAGGAAATTTTTATGGGTTTTTTTCTTATCTCTTTTCATTTAACACAATGTCTTCAACTCTTTTTTTTTAACTAGCACATGTTTGCTGTACATAATGACCATTCATCCTGAGAAATTTGTACCTGTATATAACATACCTTAATTCTTTTTTCCCAGCCCCCTCCCTGCCTTTTTGCACTTCACTTTCTTCTCTTCGTACATCCCACTTTATTCATATATCTTTATCAGTACCGGTCTGCAGTACATGATGATCACATTTATCATGGGGAGTTCGTACATGTACTTGGCCCATCTCAATTCTTTACATGTCCCCTTTCCCATCCCTCCTGCTGCTGGCCACTCTGCCTTAATTCCTTTCCCAGTTGAAAGAGCGCTCTCTCTCTCTCTCTCTCTCTCTCTCTCTCTCTCTCTCTGTCTGTCTGTCTGTCTTTCTCTCTCTGTCTCTCTCTGTCTCTCTCTGTCTCTCTGTCTCTCTGTCTGTCTCTGTCTCTCTCTGTCTCTGTTTCTGTCCCTGTCTCTGTCTCTCTCTGTCTCTCTCTGTCTCTGTTTCTGTCTCTCTCCTTCTCTCCCTCTCTTCCCCCCACCCTCCTCTGTCTTGCATTATGCAATTTCATACACACATTCATTCAACTATACATATACATGCACAATGGGCACAAGTAAATCCTTCTTTTAAGGCTGACCAGCCAATACTAAGATATGCACTCCATACATCAATGGCTTCTTTTCACTTAGGTTACCTATTTCCATTTCTAGGTAATTTTACCTCTTAGCATTATAAGGGAGTTCACTGTGACCGCCCCTCAATACTTTTCACTAAAGAAAGTACTTTCAATTATGGTTGAGGGTTCACTCAAGTTATTTGTTAAATGTCTTTAACAAATAGTTTAGATGAGTATCGACTAACCCCTGACACTGGGTCTGATCCAAGTTCCTGTGTCTGTGAGTGTTCCAGGTCTTTCCTGTTTTTAACAATGTGAACTTGAGAAAATAGAATAAGATATGAGTCATATGTTGAAAAAATGTATCATGTGATAAATAACATCAATCTAGCGAAGCATCCTCATTCTCAGAATAGAAATACGAAGATGCAATCACCCTGCTGCCCAGTGAGGCTGGAAATCAAGCTTCCATCAAAGCACGGTGCCTACAGGGCCCTCACAGGTGGGTTTCAAGATGGGGATTTGTGGTCAAGCATATTTTTGAGGAGTGAAGAAAAGTATCAGTGGAGAAGAGCAGCTAGAAGAAATCCTTTTGCTGTAACAAAATCGAGACTCATTGACTTAACCAATAGAAATTTCACTGGTCTCAAAATTCTATAATTATCTGAAATCACAGTGTTGTCACAGTTCATTTTATTCACAATTTCTCTCCCTGGCTTGGTGGAAATACAATCAATAAAATATACATTATTAAGCAGTTCTATCGGTATGCAAAGTAAATTAAAGCCTAGAATGAAAATTCTGGGAGCTAGAGTTGTACCCTAACTCCTAGTAGGTGCCCACTGAAGGGTATTCCCAGGGGATTCCAAGCTCTTGGAAATGCCTTTCTGGTGAGTGGATGGCAAACTTCCTGCTGTGGGTTTTGAGAAAGTCTTCACACATGGAATCCAGAGCACCAGGGAGGGGCAAAGCCTGTGGACATCGGTGGCCCTGACACTGTCGGCCACCATGCACTACTCAACTGTTCTTGCCTCTCCTTCTAAATCATTTTTTTAACTATTCAATATTAGCTTTAGGAAATTACAGAAGTGAATAAGCCAGAGTGTCCTTGGCTTGTCTTCCCAAAGCTGTAACAAATGTTCACCTCATAGCCAGCAATGTGTGGTTTTGATCTTCGTGTGACAGTCCACTCACCTTCGCCCTGCACTTCTGGTCATCTCAGTGTCTTTCAGCTGAGCTCACCCCTTCTGGCTGAGAAGTCTGAGGCTCTGCTTGCATGGCTTTGCCATGGTTCCTCCAAAATCCACTGTGGTAACTTCTTGGCACAGAACAAGGTAAAATCCAGTAAATCCCACAAATACCACCCCCAGTGCTCTCTCCTGCAGTACGTCAAAGCAATGCAAGTTCTTCAGGTCCAGGGGGCTCTGTGGAGTAGTAGCTTCTTTCATTCCCTTCTGATTCACTGGTTTGAAGAATCCAGAACAATCATCACTGCTGTAGTTAGCAGAACTCGTATTGTGTCCCTCAGCAAAACCCCCCATCCCCGCCTTGCAGGAACAATCACTGAAGTTTAGCAACAACAAGCAATGAAATTCAGTAGTGAGAAAACAAACACCCCAAACAAAAATTGTACAAAATAGCTAAACAGATGCCTCACCACAACGTAAACAAGATTGAAAATAGAAAACAAGCACATGACAAGAAGCTTAATTGTAGGAAATACAGTTTTTAGAAAAAAATAAATTTGTTAATCACAATAGGATATTCTTAGAGTTTTGTTAGAATAGCTAAATTTTATTAGTATGTGCTTGTGACACATAATAAGTACATTCATCTTGGAGACTGAAGCGGACACACGTCTCACCTGGATCCACTATCTCTCTGTCCCGCCCAGCATCTCCCCTTCCTCCTGCTCCAGAGCTCCTTCCCATCTTCAGGGGCTAACTCCTAACTCCTACCGTCCTCATACATTTTGCTCTTTAAATTATTTATATTGTGGGTTGCTGGTATAGAGAAACCAAGGGATATTTCACTTTCTGCATGTGGTTTATTTCTCTCAGTGTACTGGTCTAAAATCTGCCAATTTTTGCAAATGAAGTGAGCTTACCCTTCCTTGCGGGTCAGCGGTTCTCTGCTGTGTGTACACACCACATTTTTCTTGCTCGTTCATCTGCTGATGTGTGTGTTCACTGCCCCCATAATTCAGCCAGGCGGAGCCAAGCTGCTGTAAACATGATATGCGTGGATCGCTGTAATATGCTGGTTACCTCTTTTAGGACAATATCCTAGAGAAAAGGCAGAGCTGCGTCAGGTGGAATTCCTTTTCTTACTTTTTGAGGAGTCATCTCACTGATTTTCTGGTATCCACTGTGGTTGTCCTGGTGACACTGTCAACAACAGGATAGGAGGGTTCTTTCTTTCCCCACAACTTTGTAGCTTTTCTGAGGCCTTGAGAGTCCGCAGAACAGCTACAAGTTTTTAAAACACTGATCACCACCAGCACGTGCATGAATGTGGAGAACGAGGACTCGCGTAAGCAACTGTTGGGAACATGGAGTGGCACACCTTGGCAAGCACATGGCGTGTAGACGTGGACCTACAGCCAGCCACTTGGCATTTACCCAAGGAAGTTCGGCTGTGTGTTCATTTGAAGACCTCCAAATGAAAACGCCCACTGACAGCTAAATGATGGTGCCTCCATGCTATGGAATGTTACCATTGACCATCAAAGCCAAGGCACTAGGAGACAGCTCAGTGGTCTAAGCACCTGCCTCACAAGAGCAAGTTCCCGAGTTTGATCCCTGCTACTGCCTGCCATGCTGGCCCTGAAACACCAGGCACGAAACCAGGGGTGGTGGTGCGTGCATGTAATCCCAGAGCTGGGGAGACGGAGACAGGAGGATCACTAGGAGTCCAAACTGCATTTCAAGACACTGTGTCAAAAAATAAACAAATAAATATAAGAAATAAAAGGAAGGAATTACCTATGTGCATTGAAACATGGACAGATCTAAAAACAATCCTGTTGAGTGAGAAAATATAGGATTAAAAAAGTACATGCCAAGTAATTTCATTTATAAAATATTTGAAAATGGTAAAGCAATCCATAGTGACAGAAAACAGAGCAGTGGCGTCCTGGGAGAGGAAGAGAGTGAAAGGACAGCGTATTTCAAGGGAAAGGTGGCAGTGGACACTGCCATGGCTGTGAAAAGGGTTCGAGGCTTGTGGAGAAGTTAAAGCTTCATTCCAATAATTGCCTTAAAATAACTATATTGTGTATCAAGGTTATCTCAGTAAAGATGCTTCTCTTGGTTTAAAAAAAAATGTGAACAGGGCTAAGGTAGAAATTTTGTCAGCACTTCATTGCTCTGAATTCATCTTCATACATGAGGAAGATCACTTACGTGGCAACTGCTGAGGCCAGAGGAAGGAGGTGTCTGCTGGAGGCTTCGCTGCCATGGTACAGGTCTTTGCAGACACGTGATCACCCTCTGGGAGGCTGAGAGCTAGAAACAAACGGGACTTTCTCCCCAGATCTGCACTCCACAGATGCTGCGTATCATCTTTAGGCTTTATATCTTCTTTTGCAAAGATGAGCTACTCCACGAGGTTCCTCTTTGAAGGCCTAATCTGAGGGTGGGCACCAGATGAATCTATGAGATTACTTGTATCTCGATAGCGAGTCATGCCGCTTCCCACTTAGGGCTATTTCACAACCCAAGGACTAAGGCATGCTCAGCTTGAGACAGTGTCCCTCTTCACATGTCTGTGTCACCTTTGATCAGTTAGAAACACGTTTTGATAGTTTAAAAGATAGAACAACTCAGGTGAAAATATACTATTATTTATCAGCGATTCCCATCAATGTAAGCCTGAATGTTTGGCTACTTTGAAACTTCCCTATTGGCCTATTCCCTTGGCCTATTCCTCCACTACCCCTAGTGTTACTCTCCCACACAGTCTCAGGACATGAGCAAAATGTTGACAAATCTTCTGCCAGAGCACAACGCACTTAGCCTGCAGTCCAGCTGGCAATGCCGGCCTTGTGCCCACCTGAAACCTCCTGAACGTGCTCCTTACCAGCTGCATTTATATCGCATTCTGCCCTTCTCAGACCTGACTGCAATCTCCCACCACGCTCTGCTCACCCGGCCGTTTGTCCAGCTGGCATCTCAAAAGCCTTCTAAGCTCTCCCTGCGAGCCAGTTCCAGAGGCTTCTGGACCACGTGGCCAGCTAGCACCACGCGATGACCTTGCGCCCACCTTTCACCCCAAATTCTGTCCTTTCTTCATTGCTGCATCTCTGAGACACAACACCTGACACCTGCAACTTAAAGAGGAGAGGCTTACTTTGGTTCACAGGCTGTAGAACTTTCAAACCATTGCCAGCTCATTC